CATATCGCGGGCTCAAGTTTACAGCTCATCAATGTCACGTGTTTTTTTGAAGTTGACCGCTTGCCAAGTGCTGGTTTTCGATTGGATCGCGGGCTCATGTCAGGTTAACTTGTTGAAAACAGGGCAGGATAGTTCGAAAGCCGGTTAACGCTAACCCAGGTTTAAAGGTTAACCGAATCATAACTTTTCCTTTTATACAAACGTTTTTTGCTGCTTTGTTTTGTGCATATAGTGATTATTAAAACTCAAAACAGAACGCCAAACATTATACAGAAAACCTCACCGCAAAGTTACATGAAATCAAAATTCCAACTTTTTACGGGTTAGCTTAATCGGGCTCTAAACAAGTAGGAACGTTTTTAGGCTGGCCTAAATCTATATATTAGAATTGTCAGTCTTGGGCGTTAAATGTCGGCAACCTCGGCTTCTCTTACAAGAAAAGGTGCCCTCACAGAACAGAAACTTCTTCTCGGCGAAGATCAAGATCATAATGGACACATAGAGAAAAAATTCATGGGGAATTAGTTTGCTTTCTATTTACCACACAAACAAGTCTCACCAGTAACTCTTAATGTAGATTGAACTACTTTATTATTGTCCCAACTAACCTTGAACTCTAATCGTCACTAACATTCACAATTCTGACTCAGAAACTCAGCTCGCGTTCTTTTATGATAACCAGATTGGAACCATCAATCAACTGTCAAACCATCACGAGCTAGAAAACCATGTCCACGCAAAGACTTGCACAGTTCCTTTTATAAGGAATCACTCATGCGCACAAATCCCATTTGCGTTATTTCTCTCGATGGAAGAAACAGAGTCGAAACCATTTACTTTCCAAATTTTCGCTATGGTTCCAAAATTAACTGGCCAAAATAAAACGACAAGAGCAATATAAAATATGGCGTACAAAGATCATAAATTACAACAGCATATGTACAGAAAAACTTAGACTAAAGGTTGTTATGTAACAGGTAAAAGCCGTGGATTGTTCAATCAAAGAAAAGGGAGACTCTAGATTTCGAGAGTCATCCTTTTTCCTTAAATNAATGGACACATAGAGAAAAAATTCATGGGGAATTAGTTTGCTTTCTATTTACCACACAAACAAGTCTCACCAGTAACTCTTAATGTAGATTGAACTACTTTATTATTGTCCCAACTAACCTTGAACTCTAATCGTCACTAACATTCACAATTCTGACTCAGAAACTCAGCTCGCGTTCTTTTATGATAACCAGATTGGAACCATCAATCAACTGTCAAACCATCACGAGCTAGAAAACCATGTCCACGCAAAGACTTGCACAGTTCCTTTTATGAGGAATCACTCATGCGCACAAATCCCATTTGCGTTATTTCTCTCGATCGAAGAAACAGAGTCGAAACCATTTACTTTCCAAATTTTCACTATGGTTCCAAATTAACTGGCCAAAATAAAACGACAAGAGCAATATAAAATATTACGTACAAGGATCATAAATTATGTTAACATATATACAGAAAAACTTAGACTAAAGGTTGTTATGTAACAGGTAAAAACCGTGGATTGCTCAAATAAAGAAAAGGGAGACTCTAGATTTCTTGAGTCATCCTTTTTCCTTAAATTATGTTATAGAATTATCAAAAGATGATATCACAGGATAGCTCAGCCAACCTGATTGCTCCATTTGTGGAACTTAGTGTACAAGTAGAATTCTACTACAACTCGATAAAACACGGAAAATGTTTTCTATGTCGTTAATGTCAATCAAATGCTCTTCGCACTGCTTTTAATTATTCGTTGCAGTTGAATACTTATTACAAAGCACAAACAGTTTTCATCGGACATCAAGGTTGTGATCCCGATCTTTCTTGTATGGTAACACATATTCCACTAAATATGCTGCTAAGAATTACAAATAACTAAAGGTATCTATAGAAGTATTTCTCTGACTTACAATGACTATTTAGGTATATTATGTTTTGTCGTAGTCTTTCTCCACATGTGGACAGCATGCCTGATTTTCCAGTTCCTGTTGGAATGGAAACTGTGGCAAATACTATGACCCGACTATGACAGAAATGTCAAATGCACAAGGTATTCATCTTGTGTTTCAGTCAGTCAAAGAAACCAACAAATGAATAGCTAATCTAGAAAATGAAAACCTCCTTACTTCAACTGCGGTTTATGTCTTAAGACGGACAATAATAAGGTTATTTTCTTTACTAAAAAAAAACGATCGTTTCATACGTCACCCAATAAACTGTTCAGTCTTCTTAGCTTATATACAGTATTCAAGGTGGCTGGCAACAGTTTCCATCATTTTCAGCACTTCTACTTTGTTGGATCAATGCTANCTCCTTACTTCAACTGCGGTTTATGTCTTAAGACGGACAATAATAAGGTTATTTTCTTTACTAAAAAAGGTGAACGTTTCATAAGTCAGCCCATAAACTGTTCAGTCTTCTTAGCTTATCTACAGGATTCAAGGTGGTTTGCAACAGTTTCCAGCATTTTCAGCACTTCTACTTTGTTGGATCAATACTACAATTCTTTTTCAACAATTAAGGTAGGCAGGTAGGTAGGCATGTAGGTAGGTAGGTAGGTAGGTAGGTAGGTAGGTAAAGCCACGTGGCTCATCAGGCCGGAGCTTATCTCCTGTTTCAGTAGCATGAAGCGACTAGGAGTATTTCTACTCCCCCCTGGATGGGATGCTAGTCCATTGCAGGGTTTCCACCAGCAATAAAATTCGCCGGTACTCATTTATACACCTGGGTGGAGAGAGGCACTGTGAGAGTAAAGTGTTTTCATCAAGAACACAACACAATGCCCCCGGCTAGGGTTCGAACCCGGACCGCTCGATCCGGAGACAAGCGCACTAACCATGAGGCCACCGCGACTCCCACAACAACAATGGCAGCAAATAACGCCCACAAATTTGTTTTTAAATTGTTTGGCCAATCCTCTTGTAACCTGATGTGTCTATGGTAAGCAGTGTTGTATTCAAGTTTAGTGTTTCAAAATTTTAAATTTATGTTCTGGAGAGATCTTAGATTTTGTAGCGATTTTAATGATCAAATCTTTCCAGTTTGTTGAATTTTCATATTCTTTTTGGATTTTTCTATATCAGTTTTTTAGTTGTTCTTGCATTTCTGAAAAAAAGTATTGAAATCTAACATTTTTTAAAATCTAACAATTTACCTATTTCTTTAGTGTAGAAATAAAGAAGTAAAAAAGAATTGAAATCTAACATGGCGGATCCAAGATGGCGGATATTTTTAAAGATGACATCATTAAGGTGTATGAGAACGAAAATGTCACGCGATTATATGCAAGCCTATTGAGTGTACTCGTTTGGAAATGCATATGGTCGGCTAAAACAAAACTAAAGTTCTAAATGGAGTTAAAAATATGGAACTGACGTGATTTTAATGTGTTTTGATTTAGGTAGCGGATATTGACTTCATATCATCAGTTCCTTCTTACTGCACTAATATGTAACCAATAGCTCTGATGTGTTTGTCGCCATTATCTGGTAACCATAAAGCCTCGTTTCCACAGGTGTTGGAGTCATCAAGATACACTCCTGTACCAAACCCGATTCTGGAGTTACAACTGGAGCAGTGATACTGCTGGTCACTAATGATACCTATTCTTTCTTTGGAGTAAATTTCGGCAGGCACAGCATTGAACCCCTCCTTGCCACAGTTGAGCTGCAATGAGGCCTGAGAACCAATCAGCGTCTTCCACGTGTTATTACTTTTTATTTCATATTTGGTCTACAGTACACTTATTCTCTAAAAATGGAAGTTTTTATGCGAACGATTCTTTGATAGGACGTCATCATACAAAGTTCTCATCACTGGACTAAGATATAACCCATGGCTTTGATGTGTTTGCCTCCATTATCTGAACTCGGGTGATCTACAGCCTCGTTTCCACACGTGTTGGAGTCATCATGATATCCTCCTGTACCAAACCCGATTCTCGAGTCAGGGGTGTTGCACACGTCTCCATTGTTACCTAGGAAGCCGATTCTTGCTTTAGAATAGCCCTGAACGCTACCTGCAGCATTGAATCCTTCCTTGTTACAGTCGTTCTGTAAGGAGGCTTGTGAACCAATCAGTGACCTCCACATGTTACGACCCAGTGAGGTGGCGCGGTATTGCCCGTCAGCGATCAATGAGTACAGAGAGATGGCCTTCTTGTTGATGACAATGAACTTGATCTGATTGCCGATCTTCATACCAAGACAGATCTTGGAGA